CCCAGCCCAGCCCCAGGTGCTGCCTTGGAGGACTCTGGTCTGGCTTCCCAGCAGTGCAGCACCCAGCACTGCTGCTCTGGAGATCCCTGCCTCAAACCCAGCCTGGTATCTGTCCCAGAGAGGGCTCTGCGAGAGGGACCAGAGGTTTGCTTTTCAGGGGTGAGGGGGCAGTTTCACCAAGCAGGATTTACTCTACAGATAAAACAAAGTCTCCGTCCCTCCCCTGCCCACAGAACCACCTCGTTTTGGTCCCCCTCAGCACAGGCAGCTGCCCCACAGGACTGGGAGCAGGGCTGGGAGCAGGACTGGGAGCAGGGCTCTGGTTGTACCCCCTCTGTCCAGAGCAGGCTCTCTGCTGGCACCCGCAGCTCCTGCACTCCTGTGACCCATGGTATGAATGCCACTGAAGTCAACAGCCCAAACCCTCAAACCAAACCCACCTGCTGTTAAATAACATGTTGTTAATGATCAAGCACAACCAAGTCTACATACACAAATAAGTACATAATTGTACTATTTTATAAACTGCAGAAAATGATGTCACAGACTTCCCGTTCTGTTCAGCTTCCGACACAGTAGAAGTCAAACAAAAAATCTACTATTTATCAATCAAAATCAAACCAGTTAAACTTTAAAGTGTTATGGAAATGAGATTTGAAACATTGGCTTCCTTAGAATCTTCATATTTTCCACCTCCCCTTTTGCTGTATGCTATGATGATTATGAGGGATACAATTAAAGCATACCAGCTGAGGAAGACTAGAAGTTAAAGCATATAGCTTCCTGGAAAGAGATTAAATACCTTAATTGTTCACAGACCTCATCAGAAAAAATAATAATGTAAATTTCCATCATTCTGGAGAGGCAGACCTTGTGGATGTTAGCACCACTGCTGCTCAGAAGTCCACAAATGACCTCCCTCACTTGTCCTAAACAACATTTCACCCTCTCCTGCTCTCCTCTCCTCTCACACACACAAACACAGATTACTCTGCTATTACTCTGCTGGCCCAAGCAGAACGTTCTGGTCTCACATAGCGAGTGGATGACAACAGTAATATACTTTCCTGTTCTTACAGCAAAAGCTAACATTTTTCCTGCAGCTGAAAAGGTTTGGGATGTAGAGAGAGACAGTGAGAATGAAAATGTGTCTTTTTTCAAAGTTTTCTTTCCTTAATACTTCCCAGTAACTTTCCTTTTAGCAGACCTGATAGAAGGGAACACACTCTGAAAACACAGTTCATCATAGACAAAAGTGGATAAAAATTTCTAAACCACAGATGCATTGGCCTGGGATCAATTCTGGGTCCCTTTTCTCAGAAAAAGTTTAGGGATATATAAACAGGATAGAACTGAAATACTCCTTATGGCAGCAGGAGAGTATTTTGACAAGAAGTGTTCTTAAAAAATAACTTTTGTAAGTTATCTTCAGGAAAATCATCATCTTTACTCACATCAGATTGCTACCAGGACATATCCAGGTTTCCAGTAATTCTACATCTGAATTATTCATTTGCTTCTAAGCAAATGCACAGATATATTCTATATGCAACAGTCCAGTCTACTTCTTAAAAAAAATCAGCAGTGGGAAAATGCATCAGAAATGAACATAAAAGGATACAATGAAGAGAACCAGAATGCCACAAATCTTACAACCTGTGGTACTTTACTCAAGCCTGGCTCTTGAGATACAGAAGCAGGGGGATATATGTAAGAACCTGTTTTCAACAAAGAAAATAACTTTGTTCTTCTTGTTTCAGCAAAAAGAAATAAAATATCTTGAAAATGTAAAAACAACAGCTAAAATGTTCAGATGTAATAATTCCAAACATACTCCTAAAAAATAAAGGGTTTTAAAGGCAACATAATTTTGAGTTCCCAATACAGAATTTGTTTTAAACTATTTATTCTCACTGGACCACTAGTGACTTTAATAAATATTGCTATTAGAAGAGCTGTTTATTTGATTTTGTAGCAATCAAATTTCCCAGTCCAGTCACCTTACTAATGACAGCTCTTTGGTCTAACACAAGCAATAGAATGAAACCTGCCCCCTGAAACCCTTTCCACATTACAGACACCTCAATCAATTCTGGTGGGAAGAAGCCTCTTTATTTACAGCAGCTCAATGAAAACAGAATTCTAGTCATCAAGTCTATTATTCACTGGATGTTCCTGTAAATCACATTTCTATAGTGAGTGCATGTTGCAGTGCTCATCATGTTACAATTTTGTTATTGGGATTCCAGACACAAACTGCTGGAAGTGAGGAGATTTTCCCAAAATTACATTAAATTACATCTCTCTCTTACATATCCCAGAGATGGACTGAACTCAGCAGAGAGATGCAGACCTAAATTCAATTTTACATGCATCTTTTCAGAAAGAATCCAATTGAAAAAGAAGTTTCTATGGTGTTTTTCATTTTATTCTGGTTAAAAATACAGTTATCATCTACTTTCTTCATCCTTTCCTGAAGAGGAGATGATGGAATGCAATAAAGGACACAACTGCTCCTAGGCAGTGATCCACACATACAGAGGCATTGTAAGCAGCCAGCATTTGATGCTGGTGTTGGGATTTGGTTGTAGCTCTGTAAGAACTGAAAGCCCTGCAAATGTCAGCTCTTGGAGATCTCCTGCCCACCAGCTCCACCCAGCAGGTTCTACCATAGAACACACTGAGGCAGAAATCAGAGGGCAACAGCTGCCAAATATATTGTTACTCAGCAGAGCCTGGGAATCAGTCACACGTGTACAAAGAATGGTTTGGATAGAAAAAATATGTCCCATGTGTCAAGAGTTCCATGTGATAAAACCAACAACATAAATGGGGATGACATAAATAAGATCATGACAAAAGATTATGTGACAGGTGAATTAGTGCTTCCATGTAACACACTCATGGCCCATCAGACACAGCCTGGAACAATTGAATTTATTCAATGTGCTGCAGTTCTCCATTTCTATCTGAACCCCTGATTAAGCTAACAGATTTTCAAAAACAAATTATAGCCAGACAAGACCTTACTGATTGTGCATGTGCAGATACTGAAAAACTAGTTGTTATCACTGCAGAATCCAAATGTTTCCTCTTGATTTGCCTCTCCTACCATTAGGACTCAATAGACTGTAATAATTCTTAGCCACAATAATGTTACGCTGCCAACCTTTGGAGGATATTGCCATCCTAGATCGTGTCTTTCTTAAGAGGGCCTTCAAAAACAAACTAGGTGTATAAAAAGATTAGGAAGCAATCCACAGTTGTGCAGCTCCCATTGGAATCTTTAGCTCTATCCATAACTGAGGTGTGACAGGCCCTAACACGGTTTCTGAAATCCTGTTCTGGGTCACAAATTCTGCGGAAATTCTGTGTCACAAATTCCGAAAAGTTGTTCCCTGTCCTGCTTAGCAGAATGAGAGAGACACAAATAGGATTTTGTATACGAGGGATTTTGCTTTTCTTTAAATTACAGTATCGGTGACTTGAAAAGTCCCCCTAGAACATGTATTCCGAAGGGGTTTCCTCTATTTCTGCTCCCTCCCAGAGAATAAAGTTTGCCAGATTTATTATGGCAAGTACACACTTAACTCCATTAGTGATGATCAGAACATTTCAGTTGTGCTCACCAGCGGCCCGGGGGAATCTTAGAGAAGCTGGCAATGTTTATACATCACTCTCGACCCCTTCCCCTGAAAGCTGGAGGCAGAGGCAAGGAAGGGGCCCCTCGTGCGCATCCCTCGCCCCATCCCCGCAGCCGCATTTCCCGCAGCTCCCCGCCGCTGGCTCTGCCCCCGCTGCCCCGTCCCGCCGCCACGGGGGAGGGGAAGGAGGGGAAGGAGGGGAAGTGGGAGGGAGCCGGGTCAGCGGGGTCCGTCCCGGGAGATGGGTGGGGAGAGGAGCGGCCGAGCGGGGCTGTGCCGCAACGCCCCTCGCTATAAACGGAGCGCTCCGAGCGGAGCGGCAGGAGCGGTGAGCAGCGCGCCCGGAGCTCGGCTGAGCCCAGCCCAGCCCAGCCCAGCCGGGGCTCAGCCACCCCCGCCCGGACCCAGGTAAGCGCGTCCCGGCCGGGCACTCCGGCCAGGGGCAAGCAGAGCCTTTGCGAGCGCGGCACTGCCTCGTATGGAATTTCTGCTCGGCTTAGGCGGAGCTGGCACGGGAAGGCTCCGTCCTGCACCAAGAGCAGCCACTTAATCCGCCTTGCCCTGCGAGACCCGCTCGCTAAACCCGCTCCACGAGATTATTTTAGAGAGGACTAAGTGCCCCACGGGCTGCCAGCCCTGCCCGTGTGAGCTCTCGAGTCTTTTCGCAGTTTGAAGAGAAAGCAAGGGCGCCCTTTGGCAGGAGGCACAGCCCTCGGAGCAGTAATTCCATCGAGGCTCATCCCAACATCCTGGGAGACGCTGCCCTCGCACCTCTGCTCAGCATCAGATGAGCAATTAAATTTTTATCGCTGTGCTAAGCTCACGATAGAAATTAATCAAAAGCAAAAGTGATGCTCATGGCTTCTGGGAATTGTGCAAACAGTTTAGTTTCTCAGTCTGGCAGGCAAAGCCACTTCCAGCAGTTAGAAGCAAGTATTGGTTTAATCAGAATTTTGTAGCATACACTCTCCATAACCAGATCTATCCTTTTTCTACAGAGAAAGGATTGGAGTGATCTACAACCAGAGATTAATTTTAGTTAGTATCGTTAAAATGCCTCCCTGCCTTTTTTCCCCCCGGCCAGTTTCTAAACTTTTCTTCAACTCACACTGGACTAGAGCTCTTCAACAACTTTAGATCAAGTCCTGTAGTATATTTACTGTTCTTCCCCTCACCATGCATCAAAGCACTTAATGTTACCAGTTACTTACAAGTACAAGCCCTACCCTATATTCCTCTAAGTCAACTGGTGTATCAGTCAGGTCATGATGTGTACAAACAGTAAATTGCAGTATTCACTTACACCTATTTCTATATTTCTGCAAAACTCCTAGAATTAATGAGATGTGTGGCAATAAGGGACAGCAGGATTCTGCCCAGAGCATGCTACAGTTCAGTGTAAATTTCCATCACTTCCAAAAGCAGCAGCACTCATTTGCATTGTGTTGTGCTGCATAGCATGGGACAAGGTAGTAAATTGGCTCAGTAAAATCACAGGTTGAGGGTATAAACAGGGAATTTTTTTGTATAGGGAAGCCTCTTCTCTTGTCACTTGCATGAACCCACAGCACTAACATGATTAGATTTTTGTCTGAATAGCAGGATTAAGTATGGCCTGAAGCAGGTAATTACCATGATGATGTAGAAAGGCTTTTTAAAGTCTATTTTAGTGTCAGAAAAATGTTTCATACTCCTGAGTATGGCAGTCCATTTTGCTTGTTGCCACCGTAATCGTTTAAATTACAGCCTCTTTCAAAAATATTAAGTGCCTACAAATTCAGCTTTTGCTCTTGTATTTAGGGTTTAAAGTATATACCTTTCCAGCAGGAACACAGTATTTCTTTTCCTCTCTACAACTTGAGCTACATAGCAGAGAAAAATCAGTTGTGATTATTGTGTGCTTCCTAGTTGATGTTGTTGAACTGACAAAGCAAAGTGGCCCTGTACAATTAAGAGAAGTCACATTTATCATTAAATTTGAATATAGCTAGTCTTATTCTCCCCTTACTTTTGTTGTAGTAATAGATGGAAACAGAGATAGTTCTTGCATTGGGGGAGAGTAGAAGTGTGTTCATTTTCCATGGTGTAAGGCATCCTGCCTCCCTGCTTTGGAGCAATATGTTCTTGGGCTGGCCAGCATGTGCAAACTGCAGCTAGAAGTTACTGGTTTAAAAGGCAGCAAATGCCAGCCTGAAGTGTCAGTACCCACAGCACTGCAGAAGTGAGGAGAGTGCTGCCTTTAATGTTCAAGTACCACAACTCAACAACCTGCTTTTTACAGTCCTCTTGGAACAAGAAGATGAATTATGGTATTTGTGTTTCCTGAATAATATTAATTGTATTAAATATTGGAAAATATATTTAATTTCATTCTTTGTCATACTATAAAAAGAGGCAGATGCAGAAGGTAAACATGGTGATTTATTTACACTTTCTATAAATGTATGGGCTGACATGGAAATTAGTGTCAAAGTTAATGCCCATTTTACAAAATTCTATTTTGGATAATGGGCACTGACAGCATTTTTCTACTCCTAAGTTTTCTTCTCTGTGGTAATTTTACCCTCCATGTTTGTTAAAGTAGTGTATTTAATAGTTCTGGCATTGCCTATTGTTGAACACATTAATTAATATGGCAATTTAAAGTTACATAAATTACAAACTCTCATTCCACTGTCCTAGTTAAAATCTTGTTTATACAAAGGCATTTACTTTAAACCATTTTAAGCAGTCACAAATTACTCCTATTTGCTCATTACCTCTCTTTTTTCTCTGGAACTTGTGTTCCAGAAGTTATTAGAGTGTCACCAGCAGTACTCATAAGCTCACCTGTGGCTATAGTTGCACAAATTTTAGGGGTCTTAATCACACTCTAAGAAGCATGCAATTGTTTGAGTTGTTGGCATGTTCTCTGCACCTTAAGTATCCTTTTCTGCTTTGGTGACTTCATAAAAGGTCATATTCCTCTTGATGTGGGTACAGAACATGGATATTTATGCATTGCTTTAATCAAATACTACATCAGACTTAAATGGTTAATAGTGTGCATTTTTTAAACTGAATTTAATGGTTATCTGCTAGGAGACTACCTCAATGAGAGGAAAGATCAACTAAAATTGAATTTGGATAAGTTGTATCTGAAGCTGAGCTGGGGAGATGGATTATCAAGATTCATTGGCTTACAAATAGATCTGCTTGGGCTTTACATTGGACAATGAAAAAAGAGGGCAAATGACCAGGCTGGGAAGGGTGGTGGACAGCAAAGCAAAGTATTGCCCTCAGCTGTTTCTGATAGTAGTGCTGGCAGCACAGCAACCATCTCTCCAAAAGGAGAAGCCTAAACTTAGAATCTTGTCAGAGCTGCGAGCACGGTGAGATTGGGAGCTCAGAGCAGGGAGGATGGGGTGAAGCTACAGCCTGGCCACTACAGGTCCACAGCAGCCTGCTTGTCTTGTAGGCTCTGTGGCATGTTCAGCTAAATCTCCAGCCTCGGGGTAATCTTGGCTCAGTTTTCAAGTCTTATCTAGTTTATTGCTGCTGTTTGTTCCTGCTGCTCTCAGCTGTACAACAATTCCATCAGAAATGCAGTGACACAGATGTTGTGTTTTACCCTGTGTTCCTCTCAAAAATTAATTAGGAATTCTTCAGCATGCTTGGATGGAAGTTCACATTTTTGGACAGCTAGTCCTAAAGGTGACTATGGTGTTTTTAAGAAGTCAGCCTCTGCACTTTAGGATCAGGTTTGAGAAGGTAAAATGACAGATTGTTACAAAGAAACAAACTTAGAAATCTCATGGAATTCTGAAAACAGAATAAAAAATGTGGATCACTTCTGAAGAGAGGGAAATATTACATCGTTCTTTTCACTATTGTAGGGTTAGTTTCCACAAAACCAATAGGATTAAAGAGGTTGCTATTGCTAAGTATTTAACCTCACCTACTTACATGGAATTAACTTTGCATAAAAGTTAAAATTTTTGCATGTAAGCACAAGGTGAATTCAAATGCATTGGAGAGTTTGAGTAGGTGGCAGCCTAATGTATGCTTTGAGTTTCAGGATGCACAGAGCTCATTCATGAAGCTGAAACACTGCAGCCTGAAGAGCAGAAAGGCTCCAGGAGAACAATTTCAGTGCAATTGTGGCTGTATGTAAGAAAGTTACTAATCACAGTATCATTTTCTGTCTCTTCCTTCTGATCCCAAACACCCTAGCAGTGAAGAGCAAGCCAGCAATCTTTTGCTAATGACAGTATTTATTTTCATTCCTTTTCCATCAACAAATTTGTCTCTTAAGATCACTTTCACCAATAGACAGTCATTCTACTCAAAGCACTCATTCCATGTTCTGTGCCATTTTCTAAAATTTATCCTTTGCCAAAAAAAGAAAACAAACAAAACAAAACAAAAAAAAAAAACCAAAAAACAAAAAACCAAAAAACCCAAAATGCCACATGTACCCTGGAAGGATCTTTGTCCCTTTGGAACATTTTGGGGAATTTAACAAATTTGACCAATAAGGGGATACTCATACTTAACATTCTTTGCCTCAGCTGTAACAAAGGAAAAGAGGTTTTCTTGACTGCAAGTCCTAACAGCTGTGATTGTTTGAGACAAAGCACATATGAAACAAAATTGCTGGTCTAATAATTTTTGGTCTCATCTTCAGATGAATGACAGATTATACTAAAATTACTCTGAGCTTTCAAGTGAATTGCTACAAAGGATAGGAAACTATCATGTTCCAAATGACATGCTGTTAGTATTCTCTGCTGAACCATCATGTGAAGGAACTATGGGTTTTGGCCTTTGGTCGGGTGTCTTTTAACATTTTTATTCCATTTGTGTTTTGTTTGATAGCAAAACTGTCCAGGTATTCAGTACATAACAAGGCTAGCTAGAATGCTTGGTTACTGTTTGTGGTGTTTATCTCCTTCTATTGCAGCTGAGTAGCATTTCTCTTGTAGGCACAGAGCACAGGTAATAACTGAAGACGGCCTCACAGCAGGAGAGTGAGATCAGATTGGCAGTGCAGCAGTGAGTGGCGTGACTGAAGACAAGATAAAAAGCAGGCTACAGCCAAAGGTAAGGGGCAATATCTGAAGAAACTAGTACTGAATTTGGGCAAGGTCAATATTTAGACAGTATTTCACTGCTTGAGGTGAAAGCTATAATTAGGATTACAGCCAGAACAAAGAATGATTTAACTAAACTCCTAATTTCAGCTAATTCCCCTATTCCTTTCTTTACTTGTAAGTCATTCAACTTTGTGAGTTACTCATAGATCCTTAGCTAGTACAATCTAATAATCAGTAGATGAAGTATAGGAACAGAAATAGAAATTAAAATTCAGTGGATTCTTGAATCCACTCGGTTTTCAGAAAACAGAGGAGACACTGGAGTGCTGTGCCTCAGCATTTCTAGCTGAGAGGGACACATTGAAATAAGTAAAACATTCCAGCAAACCACTGAACAGCTGTACTTTCATGATGGGGGGCTTACGCAAGGAGAAAAATGCACAAGCTGACTTCTCTAAAAAATGTTCTGTTGGCAGCTGGCCTCCATTTAACTCTGCTTTAGCACCAGCACAGCCTGGCCAGAGCCTTTCCTTGAAGCAGGCAACACATTATGTAAAAGGTGCAGCCTGGGCTTGTTTACTGAGAAACCATTCATGCCCTTCCCAGTCTACATTTATAAGATGTATATTGCCCTTTCATCTTTTTCTTTATAAACTCCTATTGGTTTTCATCTTTTCTCCACTCATTCTTGTTGCCCAAGCCTAAATGTTTATGCAGTTTTACTTTCTTCCCCTGCCGAGGGGTAAGTCTGCTGCGACTGGAGTGGCTCAGGGTTTGTTTTCTCCATCCTCAGGCTCTCTACTTGATGTACAACAGTTAGGAATGGAAGGCATGGGACAAGAATCAATATGTATTATCAAACTAGGACTCTAGTTGTGCTGTCTTCATTGTTTTCCTCTTGGTTTTGTTATTGGCAGTTTGCATGATTAGACAATTACAGTTTTTCTCAAATCAGGTAAAAATATTTATTTTCACATGGTCTTCCTAAAATGCCGTTCAAATAAAAAGGGTTCAAAATCATTTTACCTTCAAATATATTTTATGATGATATTCCATGTTCTTAAATATAACTTTTAAAAAAAAAAAAAAAAAAAAAAAAAGCCATGTCAGTGAAGGACAGCCACACACCCAAGGAATTGCACACTAATTTTCCTAGCACTGAAGTGAACCTCATTTAGCATCTCTGGGAAGGCACAGCACTACCCCTTCTGGGCTCCTCTGCACTTGTGTTTGCTTGAGGGCTGAGACTGCACCTGCTTGAGGATGCACTGATTCACAGTATCATGGATTAGCTCACTCCAGCTGCAACAGCTGTCTTTGTTTTGCTATCTCTGGCTGGTCCTCAGTACCCACAAGGAACATCTCAGGACAGCAAAGAGGGTTCACCAATTAATTTTATTTTCAAAATAGAGCAATAAATTTTACTTTGAGGGGAAAAAAACAGGAAACAAGATGTACAAATTTGTCAGAACATCTATTTTGGGATCATTCTATTAAGTGTGCTGCCTTCCAGACAAAGCACTAAGGATCATAGTAACTTGTTTTTCCATGGGTGATAATACCTTTCACACTGACATGGATTAAGGTATCTATGTTTGACCTTTCCTTCTCTTTGATTAACCCCTTAGAAACTCACTAGTTCAATTGACTCATATATTCTCAAATTTTCTTCTAGTCCTCATAATGATCTGCCCTTAACAGGAGTTTTGTGCAACTGAAAGCACAATTGGGCCTCTATCCTTTCAGTGTTATACCTACCAACAGTTACAATGATACTAACTTCTCTTGGGCTTAGCTACATTACCATTTTAAAAGATTTTTTTTGTCTGAATAAACTCTTGTACTTTGCCAGTTACTCATACTGTTTTCTTTCCTTTCTGCCTTTGGTTCCCTTTTTCTGACCCTAATGAGCGATTCATTAAGAAGCCTCCATGCTGATCTTTTGCTTTTAATCTTTTAACTTTTCCCTCCAGGCTGTTCCTAACATTCTCATTTAGGGAAGAAAAGTCTTTTCTGAGGGGTATTGCCGTTGTGTGATATTTTCCCACACTAAGGATGTCTAAATTAATTATATAATAAGAAAAGTAATCAAGTGTCTCAGTCAGACACAGTGAACCAAATCCTATTACAGATGGCTGAATTACAAGACAAAGCTTCCTCTGAACTAAGGTGCTGAAACCTCACATCCATTTCCTTGCCCAGAAATCCACAATACATTGCCTTTGCTTCTTCAGTAAGACAAACACTATTTCTCAGCACAAAGTCAAAAGAAAAAAAGTGTTCAATGCAAGGTTTGCTTTCCTCAGAGCTGTAGCACTGACTGGTGGGAAGTTACATGGAATTCACCCGCCATGGCACTGGAAATGTAGTGATAAAGCTTTCACATTAGCTGATTTAGCTACCATGACAGACACTTCAGTGATACTGGTTCACATAGAAATGCTGCATCTGTACACATGTTTGTATTTCAGTTCAGGTCTTCATCACTCAAAGCAAAAGATTCTGTTTCTAACTTTAACCACATTGGTGAAAGGTAACAGGAATGGGATTCATTAGAGGGGAAGTCTTTTTAGGTAACACTATGCAATCTGAGCTACTCTCAGTCAACTCACCTAATTTCCATTAGATTGGAAAGTGGAACACCTCTGTATGGAGGAGGTCTCTCCATTTCTGGAATAGAAGCAGATAATTTTCAGTGTTTCTTTTCTGTCCTGCTTTCTGATTAGCCATTATAGATAAAGGTAATTGCTCTGCACAATGCATTTCTAAAGCTTGTCCTTCATTAATTTACATTTGCCTTCTGTAGTTGGGGGGGAAGCAGGGGAGTTGGGTGGGGAGTGGGATGTAAAAATGAAAAAGCCCATATTGCATATTGAGCCTGTAAAGCTCATAGGTGCATCATGCCCCAGCCTGGTGATTGAGCTCAGTGGCAGGAAAATGTTCTTTTGAGGATTAGCATACCAGGTAAGGCTTCAACACGCATCAATGTTGCCATGCACATCAAAATGTTGCTGATTTGCTTTACAACTTGAAGCAAATCTGTGTAAACTCCCTGGTGGCACCTTTCTTGCTGGTTTACAGGAAGGTACAGAAAGGCAGCTCCTTGTACCAGAAAAGCAGAAGTTATTTTTCAGGGTTTGTTGATGATCTCATTAGTATCTCACCTTTAGCTAAGGGAAGTTATTCAGGAGTGTAAATAAACTGCATGCATAATGTTCATTTTTGCTTCTGTATCTTCTGGCTCAGCAGAAGAGTTAGAGGCAATGGGAGAGGGGCAAATGACACTGGAGTCTCTGAATAAAATAAACTACTGGGGAAAAAAAAGAAGCCTCTATTTGGACTAACTGGAAATTCCACAAAGTGCTATTGCCTCCCAACTTTGTCTACAAAATTATTAGCTGTGTCCCCTACCCTTCCTCCTAGAAATATCCTTGCCTAGAGGGAGCAACAGAAACCTAATTAAAACATTATTTTTGGTACATTTATACTAGTAACACCACTGATTGAGTTATGTTTTTCACAGTAAAGCTCTAAGACAGAAAAAGGCAAAGACTGAGAAAAATCCTTTTCTCCCAGAAGTAGGGGATTTGGTTCTTGAGGAAATAGTTGAAGTTTTGTCCTTTCCATTGCAATCTCTGCCAGCAACAGAAAAGGTTCTGACAGTGATTGCATATTGCTGTGGGCATGTCACTCATGCAGTAACCATTTTATGAAATTATAACTTCTGATTTAGATGCACGAAATACCTTTTTTTTTGCTTAATTATTAACAACCACTAATACAACCAAGAGTTTAAGCTTACGTAAATCTCACCTGTTTTCACCTAGAGGCTGGTCAGCAAGCTCTGTCTTGCAATTACAGCAGTTTATGGAAGTAGCCTTTTCCCCCCAGAAAGGCCACTGTCCACCTGATAACTTCCATCTGCTGGACAAGTGCAACCACTGACTAAGACTAAGATCTGGACAATGAAACAAACTCTTTCAGTGTTGGATGCATTCCAGCTAACATTCCTTCCAGCAAGAATAGGATCAGAGACCGGTGATACTCAAAACAGCACATAAAATGTATTGTAACCCCGTATTAAGCTCTATTTGCTTGAAATCACAGTAATATAACAGCATTTCTCCTACAAGCTGGGCAGGATGGATAGTTGTAACTGCTATTTTTTGGATACTGAATAAGGAATCCTCAAGCTTCAGTGAAGAAGATTCCTGTGTGACTTAGGACATACTGATGGCTGTATGGGATGCCCAGTAAGCCAACTGTGATTTATGTAGGAACTGAAAGGAGGTGAGATACCCCACTCCTTGTACCTGACCTCTGCCCTTAGAACTGGCCATGATAAACCATGCTCACAGCAATGCTTTTCATTTCAACCTATGGTTTTTTCTTTCTAACCTCTCCACAGCATTTTTAATATAAGACTGAAATATAAATATGGATCAAGGCCAGAGTTAATCTAAATTCCCTTACTTCTCAGATTGAAGGCATTCACAATAGAATCTTATGGTGCATTACATATGGAAGCAATAGAGATATTTCAGATGTGGGGTTAGGTATCCATTTGTGTTGGATGTGCCATGCAACATAACACAAAACTTTAACAAAAAAAAACACACAAAAACTTTAAAACTTCTTACTCATGCAACTAAGCTATGAGAAAAGAAAGTTAAAATTCATCAGATTATTTCACTTACACTTAATAAACCTGAATTCGATTTCTGTCTTTTATTAAAAACAATCACATGGGGCACACTGTATTTTATATAGGCAATTCCAACTGCAATAAAGGAAATGTGTTAATTCATTCATTTACTATCACTCAGAGAAAGTAACCGTGCAGCATGTAACCTTTCACAGCTCAAACTCATCTCATTTTTATTCATTCTGGGATTGATGGCTTAATTCTGGTTAATTATTGATTCTTACAGGTACTTCCAAATACCCTAAAGATGCTTCATAACCCAGCATCAAATTTGAAGTTATAAACCTGCAGTAAAATGTGTA